TATACTAATTTCGTGCATGAAGCGGATCAATAATTTGTTCACTAAAATAGTGTTTGTCACGTATCTCAATACACATCACACACTAATTCCGTGTATGAAGCAAGTCCACCACGTGCTCGCTGACATGTATCTCAATACGCATCACACTAATTTTTTGCATGAAGTAGATCCACCATGTGTTCACCAAATGACACGCATCTTAATACGCATCACACACTTATTTTGTGGATGAAGCAGATCAACCACATGTTCATCAAAATAATATTTGACATGCATCTCAATATGCATCACACACTTATTTCGTGCATGACGTGGATACACCACGTGTTCACAAAAATAGTATCCAACATGATCTTAATAATATGCATCACACACTGATTTTGTGCATGAAGGGGATCCAACAAGTGTTCATCAAAATAATATCCAACATGCATCTCAATATGCATCACACACTAATTTAATGCATGAAGTGTATCCACCACATGTTCACCAAAATAGTGTCTAGCACGTATTTGAATACGCATCACACACTAATTTCTTGCATGAAGGGATGCACCACGTGTTCACCAAAATAATGTCTGACATGCATCTCAATACGCATCACTCACTTATTTCGTGCTTGAAGCAGATCCACCACATGTTCACAAAAATAGTGGCTAACACGTATATCAATACACGCACACACTAATTTTGTGTATGAAGCGGATCCACCACGTGTTAACCAAAATAATATTTGGCACGCATCTCAATACGCATCACACACTAATTTTGTGCATGAATTAGATCCACCATGTATTCACCAAAATAATATTTGACACATATGTCAATACGCATCACACACTAATTTTGTGCATTAATTAGATCCACCATGTATTCACCAAAATAATATTTGACACATATCTCAATATACATTACACACTAATTTCGTACATGAAACGGATCATCCATGTGTCTACCAAAATAGCGTCGGACATGTATCTCAATACGCATAACACACTAATTTTGTGCATGAAGCGGATCAACCATGTGTTCACCAAAATAGTGGAAGCAGCCCTGGACACTCAATTGGGGTACGTGTCGTCCTCTGATTTTATGCATGAAACAGAGTAACCAATACTCAACACGTAGTCGGGTCACGCGTCGTGCTCTGGTTAATTGCATAAAACAGATTGACCACATGTCCAGTGTTGGCTTTCAATAAATAGACCCCATCTTGCCTTTCTTGCTCACACAAGAAAAACAAAAAAAAAAAAAGAAATTATTCGAGAGTAATTAATTTCACAAGCAAGTTAATATGAATGTTCTTTATTTATCATTCTAGTAAGTCATTTGATCTCTTTGTAAACTAATAATGAACTTAATGAATGGTATTATATATATATATATATTTGAATCATGCATAACCAACACTTGACACGTACTAGGGTATCTGTCGCACTGAAATTTCATGCATGAACTAGATTGAACACATTTCCATCACCCTCTCTTGATAAATAATACATGACATCGAGCATTGAAATTAACGAAAGCTAATTAAATATATTCCAATGTTGTAGAAAAGATACATGTCATGTACTAAACAAGTGTCCATCATCCTCCGGCAATAAATTCCACGCCGACAAGTATTAAAACTTACGAAATCTTAAATATATTCAAATACGTCAGAAACATGCAGAACCAGTACTTGACACGTATTAAGGTACATGTTGTACTTAAATTTCATGGATGAAATATATTAACCACATATCACTCATCCCCAGGCATCAAACATTGTAATTAATGAAAGCTAGTTAAATATATCCAAATGTGACATAAACATACATAACTAGCACTCAATACGTATTAGGGTACACTCACACTCAAATTCCATGTATGAAATAGATTACGACGTTTCCGCCATCCTTTGTCGATAAATACCATGCCAACACACCTTTCTTTCGCACACCAAAATGAAATTGTAACTTAGAGTTTCATTTAGAAATTATGTCATTCTCTTGTTTCAGCAGCAATTTTCTTTGCTATTGATGATGTTTGGCAATAGCTAGGGTCAGTCCTTATATTTACAGAACTCGGGGAAAAAATAAATTAGGCCCGAATAATTAAATATTTCTTGTATTAAAAAATAAATAAAAAATAATAAATAATCAAGTTTAAGAGGGATTGACAAATAAACTTGATTTTTGATCACCTACTACTTTGTTGTTCCCAAGAAGAATTGGCGTCTACCATATATTCAATATTGATGCATTGAACAACTTTTAGTTTGTATTTTCAATGTTAGTACGTAGAATTTATTTTTTGGTATTGGTAGATCGAATTTTTATTTTATAGGTATGGAAAGAAAAAAAGAAGTATCTTTTAATATATATAACCATCAAATCATAGAGAGATCATTAAATAATGAGTGTCTTTTTCCCCTTATAATATGTATTGCTCCCTCCATATATACAAAATACTTTGATTCCTTTATTATTTTTAATTTGGAATGTATAGAAATTTCAATATTTAAAAAAAAAATTGCATGTATCTTTCTAAATACAATTACATGTAAAATATATTTTAAAAGTGGTGCTAAAAGTGAAAATAAAAAGAAAAAAGTACAGAGTTAAAACACAAGTCTTTTTAGGTTAAAAAAAATGTAAGTAGATAATGCATAAAATAGTCCTTTTTGTAGTTGGTATATTTATTTTCTCGTGCCTTGCTTGATAAATAATGTCTGGCGATATTATCTAAGCATTTTCATTTACACATAAAATGCATTTAAAAAGTCATGCTGAGAGCAAAACAAGCAAAAGATTAAAAAATATATTAGACTAAAATACGGTTCTTTTTTGGTTAAAAAGATATACATTAGGCACAAAATATTTTTTTTTTTTTTGTCGGTACACTCATTTTCTTGTGCTCTATATTGAGAAACAGTATGTGGCCATATTAATTATCAAAATAGTTGTGTCTTTTCATGCAAAATATATATATATATATATTTTAAAGGTTGATATTTTGTCCCTTTGCATTTCATTTCATTTTTTTTTGTTATTCGACTCTCATAATCCTTCAAAATGAATGTCTTTTAAATATACATTACAATCAATTTAAACATAAATCATTCAATAATGAGTTTTTTCTTACAATATGTATTAATTACTCCATCCCAAAGATTTTGATATTAGCTTATTATTTTTAATTTAGAACTTCTCAATATTTCTGCATTTTATTAAAAAAAAATTACATATAGTTTCTCAATTTTATGGGTTTGTTCATTTTGTATTTTTTGGTGGCAAGATTGATCTCCATAAATATTATAAAAATATAATATATACACATATCAACACAATATGTATAATAAATACACTTTATCCACTCATAAGGTCAACAATTTCACATAAAATAACATTTTTTACATTACCGACTTAATTTTTTATATCTAACATAAAAATACATTCATCTAAAAATAAAAGGTGAACATTAAATCATACTAAAAACAAAAGCAAAAAGAAAGGATAAAGTGGGAATAAAATCTCCTTTTAGGTTAAAAATTTATATTACGCGTACAATAGGTATTTTTTATTTTTATTTTTATGTAGTTGATATACTATTTTATCGTGCCGTAGGTTGATAAATAGTGTGTGCTGATAGTATCTAAATATTTTTTTTTTACATGCAAAATACATTTACTTTTAAACGCAAAATATTTTTATACGCCAAACATATTAAAGAAGTCATGCTTAAAGCAAAACAAGAAAAAAAAAAAAAAAAAAAAAAAAAAAAAAAAAAAACAAGGGTAGAGACATAGAGTTTGAAAACAATATAAGTCTTTTCAAGTTGAAAAATATATTTTGGTCATAGATTAGGTCTTTTTCTGTAGTTGATACACTATCTTTTTATCGTTCCTTGTGTTGATAAATAGCGTGTAGCGATATAATTTAAGTAATTTTGTTTTTATCCACAAAAATATATTTACTTTTATACACAAAAGTATCTTTGTTTTTCATGTGCCTTGTGTTGATAAATAGTGTGTGGCGATATTATCTAAGCATTTTTGTTTACACGCAAAATATATTTACTTTTACACGCAAAATGCTTTTTAAAAGTTGCGCTGAGAGCTAAACAAGCACAAGAAAAAAGAACTATTAGACCAAAATATGATTCTTTTTTTGTTAAAAAGATATACATAAGGCATAAAATATGTCTTTTTTTTTTTTTTTTTTTTGTTGTTGGTACATTCATTTTCTCGTGCTCTATATTGAGAAGTAGTATGGAGCGATATTAATTATCATAACATTTTTGTCTTTATATGCAAAATATATTTAGTTTTTATTTTTAAAAGGTTGAGATTTGGTCCCTTTGCATTTCATTTCGACTTTTTTTTTTGTTATTCGACTCTGGTAATTCTTATAAAAATGAATGTCTTTTTTATATACATTACTATCAAATTAGACACATTAAACACAAATCATTAAATAATGAGTTTTTTCTTACAATATGTATTACTTACTCCATCCCAAAGATATTATATTAGCTTATTACTTTGAATTTAGAATGTCCCAAAATTTCAGCATTTAAAAAAAAAAAAAAATTATATAAGTTTTTTACATTTATGAGTTTATTCATTTTTTTGTTTTTGAATAGTATGATTCTCCATAAATAATATAAAAATTAACTAAATATATACAAATATAGCAGAAACATGCATAATCAGCACTTTTTTGGAACCATACTAGATTAAAAAGGAAGACCTGTTGTTTATGCTTTAAGTTAAACAAATTCATGCCAAAGCAGCGCTCGACACATAGTTGGGGCACGCGTTGTTCTCTGGTTTCTTGCAAGAAGTAGAATAACCAATACTCAACACGTAGTTGCGTCATGCGTCGTGCTATGGTTTCTTGCATGAAACAGATCCACCGCGTGTCCTGTGTTGGCTCTCAATAAATAGACCCTCATTCTGCCTTTCTTGATCACACACAGGAAAAATTTGTATTCGAGAGTAATTAATTTCACAAGCAAGTTATTATAAATGTTCTTTATGTTTAGCTCTAGTAAGTCATTTGGTCTCTTTGTAAAATCAATAGCATTTTCTTTATAACCTTATCAGAGTAGATTTCATGCATCATGGATGCTATCGAACCATTACGATACGGTGGTTGTGGAGACACGATGACCGTTGAGGATATTGCTTCCTTGAAGCTTAATTCCTCTAGAAACTATCGTGTGATTTTGTTGTTCCATATACGCAGAATAACACTGACTGCGACGGCAACATTCCACACACTCACACGCACACTCATATGCTTCGTTGGATTCTCCCTGCGCGGAGGGAAGCAAAGCGATGTGTGCGAATTGCGGAGCCAACTCGACCTTTTGGGATTGAAGATTGGTAATCCAAGTTACCTCCTGTGGGAATTGCCTTTTCAGGTTCCTCTGTCTGCTGTTTTAAGCAATGGATTAATTTAATCTGCGCATCACTGTTGTTAGTGACATTCAATTTATTTGTTCTGTTTTTCTGGCAGGGCATTGGCGGATCAACTGGAAGAAGACGAAGACGAGCATGAGAATTATTCGAGCATGGTGGTCTTAAGGTGAACATATTGTATGAAGATTTAATATTTGGTGTTCTTGACACTGATCTTACAGCATTATGGATTTTTGAGCATATTTGGTATTATAATGTTGTTAGAATATATCCGTTAAAATATATAAATGCAATGGAAAGATAAATTATAGATCTCAAACATCCGGTAATTGCTAATCGTTTTGTTTGTTTTTGGTTGAGCTTTCCATTTGACCAACATGTTTTGTTTGATAGGACAATCAAACAATGTTTGAGCCCTTTGTTGAAGATGAAGTTCCTTTCGAGAAATATTATAAATCCAAAATGGAAACGGCTTATAACTGCAAGCACAGAAGCAATTGGTATGGGCAATTATGAAAAGCACAACAAATGTGTAGATCCGTGCAATAAGTGTAAGTTTTTGCTAGCATAAATGGATGCTATCAAACCTTTACGACAATGTGGTGGTGGAGACTAACTACCTTTTTAATGTGCCATGTAAAAGTATGCCGTTGCTGGAATTCAACCTTGTAGCTCCGTCCACTTACCGATGCCTCATGGCAGAGTATAGTTATGTCAGGCACACCCCCTTTAACACGGCTCGCCTTATAGAAAATTTTTCTATTAAGATTTGAGCTCTAAGATGATGTTAAATGAGTAGAGCATTGTACTTTTGTAATTAAAAGAACTTTATATTTTTTTAGAGTTTATGTAAGTTTTTACTGATGTTTAATGAGAATAAACATTGTATCTTCTGTATACTAAAAAAAAAAAAAAAAACAAAAAAGAAGTAAGTTTCGAAATAACACCAAAATAGCTTGGTTTACCGGTTGTAATGATTGTAGGCTACTGAGCGTTTGATATAATATTATTTAGAATAAAAATATAATATAAAAAATAAATAATTAACTCGATAATGGATACATTAGAAAATTTGAAGAAATTAAATTTATTTTGTCAAACAGCTAGGTGAAGCTATACAAGTTTAAGTTTAAATTGTTTCTACAGATATTCTGAAAATTACTTGAATACTTCTTAGTTCTTTGTGTTTATATGATTGTCGAAAACTTGCAATCGAACAATGCTGGTGATTTTTGCGGACTCTTCAGAGCGCGTCCACAGGGATTATGGGTGAATCATGGAGAATTAATTATATTCAAATGTAGTAGAAGCATTCAAAAAGCAACACTTGGCACGTATTAAAATACGTGTCGCACTCAAATTTTATGCATGATATAGATTAACTATGTGTCCATCATCCCCTGTCAATAAATACCACAAGAGCATTTTAATTAACAAAATTAAATTAAATATATTCAAAATTGGAAACATATGTAGAACTAGCACTCGACACATATTATGTGTTGCACTCAAATTTTATGCATGAAATAGATTAACCACATGTCCATCATCCTCTGTCAATGAAAGTCATACCACGGAGCATTGAAATTAAGAGTGGTGATTCAATTTATTCAAATCATGCAGAACCAATACTCGGCGCATACTAGGGTATGTGCGCACTGAAATTCCATGCATGAAATAGATTGAACACATGTCCATCATCCTATGTTGATAAATACATGGCATCGAGCATTGAAATTAATGAAAGCTAATTTAATATATTCAAATGTTGTAGAAATATACAAAACCAACATTCGATGCGTCGCGTTCAAATTTCATGCATGAAATATACTAATCACTTGTTCATCATCCTCCGGCGATAAATTCTACGCCAACAAGCATTGTAATTTACAAAACTTAGTTAAATATATTAAAATATGCCAGAAACATGCAGGACCAACACTCGACACAGATTAAGGTACGTACGTGTTGCACTCAAATTTCATGGATGAAATAGACTAACCACATGCATCATCTCCCGGCATCAAACATTGTAATTAATGAAAGCTAATTAAATTTATTCAAATGTGGCAGAAAAATACATAACCAGCACTCAACGTATTAGGGTACATCTCACACTCAAATTCCATGCATGAAATACATTAACCATATGTCCACCATCCTTCGTGGATAAATACCGCACTGTCACACCTCTCTTTCTCACACCAATATGAAATTGTAGCTTAGAGCTTCAGTTAGAAATTGTCGTTCTCTTGTTTTATCAGCAATGTTATTCGCTATTGATGATGTTTGGCAATGACCAAGGCTGGCTCTTATATTCACACTGAACAATTTCTAGTTTATATATTTTTATGTTGGTATGTAGAATTTATGTTTTTGGTGTTGGTAGATAGATTCTAATTTGCTATTCATTTCAAAGTCAATCAAAAGTGTTACTTTGGGATTCAAGAAAAGGTAGAATGTGAGCTAGGAACAACTCTAGTCAAAAACTGAAAATCAATTAATTGCTCTGTTCTTTTCCATTTCTATGCTCCCCTAGCATGATATTGAGCAATGAAGCAAGTTTTCGCCCTCGTATGGTTAGCAAAACTCCAAAAAAAAATTATAGGTTGGCATATTTGAGGTTTAACTACATTCATGCTTGATGCTATTCAACTTATGATGATTCAAGTTAGACATTTGGCTGTCTAAGTTCAAATCCATGCTCATTATTGGTAAGATGTGCACGCACAAAATTACACCTAATAAAGATTATGTATGTGTGTATTGATATAATTACTTGTTATGTACTACGATTTAATCGAGTAAGAAAGGTCTACTTGATGCCATGAATATTTATGTTACCTAGTTTCATTCAATTGAGGGTGCACAAAGCATGCACTTTAGGGTAATTTTATGATGGTTGACCCTATAAAATTTCTCAGAGTGGTCGTGGGCCAAAGGTTGCTAGAAGGATTTGTATTGACCTGTAGGTTCAATCTATAGTCTTCATTCTCTTTTCCCATGGACAAACTGTTTCTAGGAATCATATTACATTAAAAAGGAAGACCTTGTTGTTAGGTTTAAAGTTAATCAAATTCATGCCGAAGCAGCGCTCGACACTTAATTGGGGTACGTGTCGTCCTCTGGTTTTATGCATGAAACAGATCAACCAATAATCGACAATTAGTTGGGCACGACGTCGTGCTCTGGTCTCTTGCATGAAACAGATCGACCACGTGTCCAGTGTTGGCTCTCAATAAATACACCCTCATTCTGCCTTTCTTGCTCACACAAGGAAAAAAAAAAAAAAAAAAACTTATTCGGGAGCAGCGAGAAGATTTATGTTCTCTTTTTTCATGAGCAACTTTCTTGGTTATTGATGATGTTTCACAACAGCCTTTTCAGGTTCGGCATCTAAGTTATTTACAGCTTTCCTTTTTGTCTATGCTTTCCTCTAGTTATTATCGCCATTGAAAACATTATTTATTTGTTTGATCTTTTTGGATACTAAGCGATTAGATCTTCCTGTTTGCAGAACATTGGAGGGCGAAAGAGTGTGGATTCAACCTAGTGAATCCTATTATGAGCTGAATATGGAGATACATAAATGGAAGTTGAGTAAGAACCATGGATTTGATCTATTTGTCTTTGGCAAGCTTTTCTAATGAAGATTCTCGCATTCGATGGCAGCCTGTGAGTTTTTGTAAATTTATTTCTATTTGCCTACCCCGTAATTTTGCATAGCCTGTTGTTTTCATTCATGCCACCACTCACAATCAACGATATAATCACTTTCAGGTGGATGCTATCGAACTATTACGATGTGGAATAGTCTGAAGGGCTTAACGAGGAGGCATGAGGCTTTAAAGATCTTACTCCATCAGTATAAACCCGAACCAGACTTTCTAATCGAATGTATCTCGAAGATTGCCTAAACTCCATCCACTAGGATTGTTTTGGTGGTTCAAGATCGATGTATTTTTTGAAATTGAGAATATGTATATTGATGTGATGTTTTGAATGTAAATGTGAATTTTGGATGAGGCTGCATAATTTGAATAATGTGAAAATAAATTTGAGTTACAGACACATTCTTCTTTTCTCGCCAACATTTGTTGAATGGCAATTGCAATCATCAAGTGATTTTGTTTATATTAATTTATCGTTTCGAATAAATTTTAAGTGCTTTCTTGAATAATCAGATTTACCCATATATTTTACATTAAATGAATATTTCCTGATATACCATATATTTTACATTAAATGAATATTTCCTGATATATAATTGAAAATGTATGAGTGAGATCATTGCTTTGGAAAATCCGAAAAAAAAAAAAAGGTCTAAAAAATTTCGAGACAAGTAGGAATGATGCCTGCAGCTTCGAATTTGGTGTCAGAAATTCCAAGAGTTTTACTCTTCGAACACCATATTGAGGCAAATTCTGAAGCTTTATGCAAATGGTCTTGAATCTAGTTCAAATTCTAAGACCATTTTCTGAAACCAAATTAATATGTTCCCGTAGTGATTATCTGGCATCGAAACAAAATATTGATGTTATGGAAACTATGTATTTGTACAGGAATAGTAGACATTAAAGAATTATATATAAAAAAATTGTGAAGTAAATACATCATCAAATTTTCACTTAATTGCTTGGTATTATTAATAGTATATAGTCATCGTTTGAATTAAACACTCGACTTCACACTTTACATTACAAACATATGTATTCCAATATCAACAAGATTGTTTTTGATATTATATAGGTATCCAAAGAAAAGTAAGTGTCTTTTAAATTTATATAACCATCAAATTAAATCAAGATCATTATATAGTGAGTTTTGTTTTTATTTTTTATTTTTTACTTTTAATATGTATTACTTTTTCCATCTCAAATATTTTGATTAGTTTATTATTTTTAATTTGGAATGTCCGAAAATTTCAACAATTTTCTTTTTTTAAATCTTCATGTATCTTTCTAAATAAAATTATATGAAAAATATATTTAAAAAGTCGTGCCAAAAGCAAAAGGGAAAACAAAAAAGTATAGAGTTAGAATAAAATATGAGTCTTTTTAGATTAAAAAGATATATGTTATACATAAAATAGGACTTATGCTGATAAATGGTGTGGCTATTCAAAATACATTTACTTCTACAGGCAAAATGCATTTAAAAAGTTGAATTGAGAGCAAAACAAGAAAAAAAAAAAAAAAAAAAAAAGAACAAGAATGGAATTAGATTAAAATATGATTCCTTTTAGGTTAAAAAGATATACATTAGGCTTAAAATAGGTTTTTTTGTAGTTGGTACACTCATTTTCCCTTTCCCTTTCCCTTTGCATTTCATTTCATTTTTTGTTATTTGAACTCTCATAAATCTTCAAAAAATGAATGTGTTTTAAATGTACATTACTATCATATTAAAAATAAATCATTATATAATGAGTTTTTTCTTTTAATATTTATTACTTACTCCATCCCAAAGATGTTAATATTAGCTTATTATTTTTAATTTAGAATGTCTCAAAATTTCTGCATTTTTTTTTTTTAAAAAATTACATATAGTATTTCCATTTTATGGATTTGTTTATTTTGTATTTGTTAGTGGCACGATTAGTCATAAATAGTATAAAAAATATAATATAGAGATATACACTACAAGAAAATATCAATTTTGTAACAGTTTTTTCGTTTTTAAATCTATTTTTTCCGTTACTAATGATATTAGACACGGAATTAACGATGAAATTACGTTAGCTTCGTGAACTTTAAGGACAAAATTCCGTTACAAATATACTATTTTTTTGTAGTGATATTAATACGATATATATGTATAATATATACTCCTTCCGTCTCACTCAATTACGTCACATATA